AACAAACGAGTTGTGCACTGTCAAAAATCAAACAGAGGAGATGAGAAATATTTTGCGAATACAGACAATACTAGTGACGGGACATCATTGTAAGCTTATCCGAATGGCTTATAAAGCCAAACCTGCATGGTATGTTTCTTTAATCTTTCTCTCTAATTTGTAGATGCAGTAAATCAAGGCTGGTCAAATGAGCTGACTAGATGGAAGAGTGCTGTTAGTGAACACAACACCATGATGAACGGATGGAAGAAAACCTGGGTATTATAAATCTCGATATATTTTATCTTGGTAATTGTAAATGTACCTTTTTCTGAGGACCCACCCTTTAAACTAGTGTGTAGGTTAAAGAGTTACTCCAAGCACCAACACTATTTTAGTGATTTGAGGTCGTCATGGTGCCTAGAATCTCTGTATGTGCAGTATTTCATTATGAAACGTTGAACATCCCCGCTGCTGCTGGAAGTGTAACTGCACTTCTGGCCACGTCATTGGGGCATCATTAGCTAATGTAAACTCTGTGCAGGTGACGTTCTCAGCAGAATCCGACTTCTGCAACTCTGCATTTGATGCACAGTATGCTGGTTCCAGTCAGGTAATGGCAGCATGACCCTCCTTCATGCCACCCAAGTCCTTCACTCAGCCGGACAGGGGAGGACTGACCACAGGGCAACATCGGTCATGGTCCGAGGGAGTGAGGCAGTCAAGGGCCTGGATAAATAGCCATGCTCTGGCTGAGTGGGGAGATCTTCAAAAAGACTCTTTCATTCCATTCACATATTCCTGTGATAGGCTGCAGGGCCCCCTACATACACGCGCACACCTTATAGGTGTGACCTGGCAGGGATCCTGCTCTCTCTGTGTCAGGGGAAGAGGTGGGGTCACTTCCTGCTTTCTCTCCTCTTCTGCAGAGTTCTCCTGTACTAAGAAGATAAGGAGCTGCCTGGTAGCAGAGACAGCACACAACACAACTGGTGCTGGTGCAGACAGGGATTGGGTGGTAAAAAAGGTAGAGATGTAAGATGATTCGGTTGGATGGGTTTCCTATTCCCTACTTCAGCCCATATGCCCCCTGCTCACACCTTGTCCCAAGTGTTCTCCCCTGGACCCACTACAGCCCTTATACATACCTGCACCTACTTCAGCACCCAGTCCCTCCCCCACAGTTAAACCTTTTTTTTATTAAAACACGGTTTTGGGTTTGATTAATCACATAAAAGTCAATCTGGTCATGTTTGAGGTCCCTGCGGGTATTGGAGTCATGACTGTGTGGCTCTCACACTGCCATTCTGGGTGCTGAGCAGCAATCTCATAATATCTGTAGACAAAAATCCTTGCAGCAGGAGGGAGGCCCTTGATCTCTTATCAAGGGCCCCCTCCTGGTGTAAGGAATTTTACCCTGTGAGTTGTTAGTCCGCCCCTGCAGCTGGACCTCTCTGACATCTATCCTGCTCTGGCAAAGGAGAGTGATGTCAGCTGAAAAAGATCAGGCTTCAGGGTGAACTTAACCTCGGTGCTGGGAAGTTTTTAGCTATATTCTTTATTTTTTTAATGTTTCTTTTAGAGGACCAGTATAGGAAACATTACTCAGACCAAAACAGTGTTTTTTAAATCACAGTTTTTGGTTGGCACACTATTTAAAAAAAAAATATATATATATATATATATATATATATATATATATATATATAAATAAAAGATCTATGTTGCTCAAGTGTGATATATATTTCTCCTAAATCTAGATCCTATAATGCATGGTTCCATGTCTGTGGAGGATTTGGTTATTATTGTGGTGTCAGTCTCTCCTTCTTTGATCATACCTTTTCCTCCTATGCATAGCTCTATATGTGACTATCCTATGAACTTTCGACCACCATTTTTAAGGCAACACTAATCCTCACTGCAACCTAACACCAAGCATCATGAACACCTAACTAGGCAACTAGCAGATTAACCTTATCTGAATTTACAGCCAAGGACAGGAGATTATTTAACTTCTAAACTACTTACTTGGAAGCCAAATTGTATTCATCCTGAAAGTGGGGGGAAATGCCCATACCATTACATGTTTAAAAAGGTTGTTGTTTGCTGTGTATTTTTTTTAATGTATTTTTTTTAAACTGTATCCTCTGTTTGTAATTGGTCTTGTTAGGTTTTTCACACAGAAATCAACAAATGTTCAGCAGTGAACTGGCTGCTAAAGATTTAATAGAATACTCAAGATATCTTTTTATATATGGAAAATTCAAATGGAGCTTAACAATATCCATGCCAGAGGTACATATGGCAGGCCTGAGAAGCTAAGTGCAGTTTACAAGATTATTAAGGAGTGCATCCAAATGGTTTGCAGAGCTAACTAATATGCATTAAAGTCATTTAAACTACCCAAAGATATGTTTCCAAATCTGAAAACCACTCTCCATCAATATTAGTCATTTTAGAGACTTAGCCCCTTTTGCCATACATCTTAGTAGAAGCATTGCTTTGCCTGTGTGTTTCTATATTCCTCAATTCCCCTTTCCTCTTTCCGTGAACACAACAACATTACTGTATAATGGAGTGTTGAATTGTGGGTTTAATAGTAATAGAGAAGTGATATTGCTGATTTGAGATCTGGGCACTATATGTCACGTGCAGACCTTTCCACTAGTCCCCAATAACGTGCTAACTATTTTATTCTCTTTAGGAAAGCTGTAAGCAGAAAGATGCAAAATAGAAACTGAAGAAAACCTGTGGAGTTTGAATCATTCATAAGCAATTGTCTTCCATGAAGAATACACTACTGAGGAGGAAGCATATATCTTAAATGGGCTATTTTCTACCAATGAAGGAATAATCTGAATGAATTAATTATTTTAATACCATAGTCTTAATCACCTCGAAGATTTTGATTCACTTCAGCTAAACAGACCTCCTGAGCTGTCACAGAAAATTCACTATACAAAGTGTTAACCATTTACCCAATATCCTCTGAAAAGCCTTTTCCAATGAGCCAGTGTGAGGCCGGAGTAGTAGAAATATGGGTTCATGTCTTTATTGCAATAGAGGAGAAGCCATCAAAACTAGTTCTGAGACCATACACATTAAGATATACATGATATCAGTGAAAGCAAATACAAAAAACAGAAATTGGTAGGCTTAGCATACATGTTATTTGTCTAATCCCCTAACAGGAAAGTAGGATCTTCTAATTAAAAGGGGGTAACTCATCACACCTGCTAGCCTTCAAAGCCTTAGTTACAAAGCAATAAAGGTTTGTTACAAATAATTATACTGCTGACCACCTTTGCCTATTAACCCTTCTATTACCAGACAGCGAGCTTACTTATACAAGTTTGAGTATATTGGTTTGTATTCACATATTATATATATATATATATTTATTTAATACATTGTTAAACACAGATCTGCGCACCCCAGTCAAACCATAAGACTTGCTTTTCCCACAGAAATCTACTGGGTTTACATCTCTTCCTGAGTTGTGTTTTCAAAGCTGCTGTATACAGCAAACATAAACTCCAAGGATTCCATGTTTAAAATGGAATAATGAGGCAAAAAGGTGATTCTTTGTTGAACTCATTAGCATTTGCCTATCCAGAATCCTTTGCGGTAGTAACATCACTGCAAATTTGACATTTCTGTGGGAAAAGCAAGTCTTTTAGTTGGACTGGGGTGTGCAGATATGTGTTTAATAATATATAGTAAAAACCAAAGAAAAAAGTTACCTGCGATCTTTCCACATCCCTATGTATTGTTAAACAAATGGAGGTTTTTATTACCTCCATTGGCCATGAGAGGGTATGCCCACCTGCCACATCAAGGCAGACCTCTTAGGTGGGTCCTAACTCTAACCATTCGCCTTGCTTCCTTGAGCTTCTGGCAAAAATATCTCTAATGAGACAGAAAGGGATATTTTTTATATACATCCTGACATGCTTATTAACCCTTAATAGGGAACACATGGGATGGGCAGCAGCATTGCAACCTAGCTGTGTGATACAAAAGTGAATACAAATATAAAGACACAAGTCCTGTGCTCAAAGGAAGCTCAAGGAAGCAAGGCGAATGGTTAGAGTTAGGACCCACCTAAGAGGTCTGCCTTGACGTGGCAGGTGGGCATACCCTCTCATGGCCATTGGAGGTAACGAAAAACCTCCATTTGTTTAAAAGTACATAGGGATGTGGAAAGAGAGCAGGTAACTTTTTTTCTTTGTTTTTTAACCCCTTAAGGACACATGACATGTGTGGCATGTCATGATTCCCTTTTATTCCAGAAGTTTGGTCCTTAAGAATTAATAATATATGCCAGAGTGAAGAAGATAGACAGATCTATAAGATTAGGCAGAAAGAGGCTAAGCAAGTTATAAGAGCTTTCAAGTCACACACAGAAGAGAAAATAGCCGAGTCGGTTAAAAAGGTGAGCAAAACATTTTTTAGATACATAAATCCGAAAAGGAAAGTAAAACAAGGATTTGTTAGATTAAAAACAAAAGAAGGATAGTATGTAGAAGATGATAAAGGCCTAGCTGACTGCCTCAGTGAATATTTTTGTTCAGTATTTACAGATGAAAATGAAGGAAATGGACCTCAGTTATAAAAAAGGACAAATTAGCCATTTTCTCAGGTTCTATTTCAACTTTCAAAAGTATAGACAAATAAGTCAATGGGGCCTGATGGAATACACCCAAATGTATTAAAAGAACTTAGTGGTGTACTAGCAAAACCATTAACGGATTTATTTAACCAATCATTGTTAACAGGAGCAGTTCCAGAAGATTGGAAATTAGAAAATGTTGTGCCCATTCACAAGAAAAGTAGTAGGCATTTATAGGCCAGTAAGCCTTACTTCTGTAGTGGGGAAAGTAATGGAAACCATGTTAAAGAATAGGATTGAGCATTTAAAATCACAGGAATTTCAAGATCAGAGACAACATGGGTTTACTTCAGGGAGATCATGCCAAACTAATCTTATTGATTTTTTTGATTGGGTAACTAAAATAATAGATCAGAGTGGTGCAGTAGACATTGCTTGCCTATATTTCAGTAAGGCTTTTAAAACTGGTGCACGTAGAAGGCTTATCAATAAACTGCAATCTTTAAGTTTGGATTCCAATATTGTTAAATGGGTTAGGCAGTGGCTGAGTGACAGGCAACAGAGGGTTGTAGTATTGGAGTATATTCGAAGCAAGGTCTTGTTACCAGCGGGGTACCTCAGGGATCTGTACTTGAACCCATTCTCTTTAATATTTTTATTAGTGATATTGCAGAAGGTCTTGATGGTAAGGTATATCTTTTTGCTGATGATACAAACATATGGAACAGGGTCGATGTTCCAGGAGTGATATGCCAAATTACAAATGATTTAGGTAAACTAGAAAAATGGTCAAAGTTGTAGCAACTGACATTTAATGTGTATAAGTGCAAGATAATGCATCCTGGATGTAAAAACCCAAGGGCAGAGTATAGAATATTTGATACCCTACTAACCTCACCATCTGAGGAAACGGATTTAGGTGTAATTATTTCAGGTGACTTAAAGATAGGCAGACAATGTAATAGCGCAGCAGGAAATGCTAGCAGAATGCTTGGTTGTATAAGGGGGTATTAGTAGTAGAGTGAGGGAAGTGCTCATGCCATTGTACAGAACACTGGTGAGACCTCACTTTGAGTATTGTACGCAGTACTGGAGACCGTATCTCCAGAAGGATATTGATACTTTGGAGAAAGTTCAGAAAAGGGCTAGTAAACTGGTTCATGGATTACAGTATAAAACTTACAAGGAAAGGTTAAATGATCTTAACATGTATAGCTTGGAGGAAAGACAAGACAGAGTGGGATATGATAGAAACATTCAAATACATAAAGGGAATCAACACAGTAGGAAGAGACTATATTTAAAACATGTGAAAATTCCACAACAAGAGGACATAGTCTTAAATTAGAGGGGCAAATGTTTAACAATAATATCAGGAAGTATTACTTTACTGAGAGGGTAGTGGATGCATGGAATAGCCTTCCAGTTGAAGTGGTAGAGGTTATCACAGTAAAGGAGTTTAGGAGATAAAGATAAAGGAGTTTAAGCATACATGGGATAGAAATAAGGCTATCCTAACTATAAGATAAGGCCAGGGACTAATGAAAGTATTTAGAAAATTGGGCAGACTGTCACATTCTATATTTCAATGTATTTCAATGTATTGACGATCCACTACCTTCAGATGGAAGGGGTTTTCAATCCCTTTCCCCCCTCACCATAATTTTCTTGGTTTGTGCTGTATTCATGTATATTTATTTATCATTAAGGCTCTTAACATGATATTTACCACAAAATATTATCAAACCATATACATATGTAGCAAAATAATCACAGAAATGGAGAATATGAAACGGTCTGTATCTTTACAACTTAACCCAAAGAGACAAATATTTAACTCCCCATGTACAACAACCACATTTACATTCTGCATATGATACACCAAACATGTATGCAATTTTAGGAAAGTACCAGCCATGTGTGTGACCTTCACATGGTGCTTCATTTCAACAAATGATAAGAAAAAAAAACTCAGGTTATCTTTCCATGTGACTAATTTGAATTTCTTTAATATATTTTTTGTATTCTATATTGTTTGAAAATGTTATCTTAAAATGTATCGTTTTGAAAAATGTGAAAATTGTATAGAATGTATTTGCTGACAGAATGGACAATATGTATTAATGAAAAATCCAAAATGATTAGCATAGCGCACTTGCATTTGCCTTATTTTCTATTATAATGAGAATATTACTTAGACTGCTTCTGACATTTTGTTTGCAAATAAATTGAACTAAAAAAACTCAAACATCCCTTAGATACACAGAGCATGTGCTTCCCCATTTATTCAGTACCAGACTTCCCACTAGGCAGAGTAGGCACCAACCTACAAATGCATGTTTGATAAGGGTGCCACAAGTGCCTATTCTCCTGGTTAAAGGATGCTCTCCACGGCTGTCCACAGTGCATTGCGGTCTTTCCAGAGTGTGTTCTCTGGGTAAGTCCCAGAGATCTGTGATCTCTGCAGTTCTGTGTATTCCCTCAGACATAACCCAGTGATCTCTACATGACAGTGCCCCTAAGACTTAACACAGCGATCTCATATCGAAAGAGGACTAGAGCCAGAATGATCACCTTGCGTAAAGCTTGTCAGGTACATACACAATCAATGCTACCCACATGTTGATGTTTACTGTCACTGCTACCCACATACATTGTGTCACGCACCTACACACACACTGATACCAATAAACAAACTAATAAACTCGTTACGACCCTCACACAGCTACCTACTGCTTCACATACATATACATACACACTGCTATGCATACAGTTGCACACATACTCTTAAGTGTGTGTATACAGCATTTTTTAACAATTATTTTTAACTATCAAGTTTTTATGTCAAGGTTTTTGTTTTGTTTTGTTTTTTATTTGCCTTAATAGGAATACTTGAGAATTCAGTGCTTATCGGCACTTGTGATGTAATTCCGGCCCTGAATATATTCCTTTTAAAAAAACGAAAACAAATGCAATGTATATGCCTAAATAATAGCTTTTGTACAGTTTGACATTTAAAGCACAATGACTACATATTTTCCCAGTCTAAGTTAAAGCTGTGAATTATTGCAGATTATTACAATTCCTACAGTAACTTTGGTTGACTGACTGTTTTTGTTTGTTATTGTGGACCAACCACTGCTGTTTAGATGGTCATTTACAATTAAACATACATTTTGTTTGAAGAAACATTACTGAAAAAACCATTGGCTTTTATTTAGTTCTGTATTTTGTGTCTTTACCCATAAGATGCTGTAATGTAAATCATTTTCTCTACAATGTTACCTAGAATAAGATAGTTACTGCACACTGCAAGTCTACACTGCCCAAACAAGGATTGATCAACAAAGTATAATTCTCTAATTCTTTTATGGGCCGTTTCAAAGTGCCAACCTTATTTCATAAATGTCTGCACAACAGAGCTTTCTGGAAGTTGTAGTTGAGTTATCAGCATTTGACTTATGAAAGCAGTTTTTGGAACTACAACCCACAGAAAACTTTGCTGTGCTTTTTGAATACATGAACTACTGTTATTGGAGACACAATACAAGTTGGGAGAGACAGAAAAGGAACTGTATGGGCATGCAGTAACCAGCAAAAGGCATTTTAGCAGGCCGCACAACAGTCCCATCATTATTATTATCTCTATTGATATAGTGCAAACATATTCCGCAGCACTTTACAATATTATAAAGGTGAAAATTTAGTTACATTTACATTTCTATAATTTAACTATAGAAATGTAACAATACAAAATGTTACAGGAACAATAGGTTGTTGATGACCCTGCTCAAAAGAGCTTACAGTCTAGAACAGGGGTAGGCAACCTACGGCACTAGTGCCATGCACGGCACTCGAGGTGTCTTTGCACGGCACTCAGGGCTGCTAGAGCCAAACAGGCTCTGGCCTATCAGGAGTCCCAGGTAAATTTCAGAAATCTGCTAATGCAAAAAGGTGGTGAAAGGAAATCCTTAATTTATGCATTGCAGCACGTAGAGGAAGTTATCTCAGATCTCTTCATTCCAGCACTTGTGAATGGGAATCCACACTGGAGTGTGGAGCTGTTGCAGCTCCTGTCCTTGAGCTGTACCTGGCCGTCCTGGTCCCCACTGGAACCCAGGGAAGCCACCCACACTGCTAGATATACACAGAAATGCAGAATAACCCTCCCCTCATACAAATAATACAAACATACACACAAACATAACACCACTGGCAATCCACATACATGCACACAACCCCACATGCAGCCTCTCACATGCAATACCCCAAACAGCCCCACAATACCACAAATTACTCATAAACATATACAATATAATAGCTCATATACACACAAATACAATGATACAAAGCAACTACAGTATACGTAACAAGCAGAATACAGCAACATACACACCTCAATTTAAAAAAAATAGGACCGGCACGCTACAGGACATCACTATCCTATTTCGGCACACTGCTGCTAAAAGGTTGCCTACCCCTGGTCTAGAAGATCATATCAATGGTGGCAAGCATGTTTTAGAATGAAACATGCTTCATAACAATGCTGGCAAGCATGTTTTAGAATGAAACATGCTCCATAACAATGCTGGCAAGCATGTTTTAGAATGGAACATGCTTCATAACAATGCTGGCAAGCATGTTTTAGAATGGAACCTTGTTTGGGAAGGGTCCTGTTCACATAACCCCATCACTAACCCAAATCCTGAAAATAGTGTTATGGGGATTGGGATTCCCTTATAGTACACTGTGCACTCACAGCATAAGAAGGATTTTTCCCCTAGCAGCACAATCACAAACAGTGAAACAGCCAAGAGGAGGTCACCCTCTGCAGCAGGTGATAACACCCAATCAGGGTCTTCTCAGACTCATGGATCTCCATCTGTTGGAGGACCCCCAGTGACATCGGTAATGAAGTAAACTGGACCATGGCTGAACACAAAAGTTCAGGCATGGTCATTTAAAGGACTGTGTGCAGCGCTCAATTTGAGCACTGCACATATCTCATCGGTCAGCGTGGTGCCACAAATTATAGCTCCAGATGACAGAGAGGTGCCCCACATATCGAGCTGTTAAAATGCAGCATGACAGAATTATTCCACAATAGGTCATTAAGGGTAGGACAACCATGATGGAATAATTCAATCATGCATGCTTGATGGGTTAACTTATTTATTATAACAACATAACAAAATTTAATTGAGCCTTGTCCAAAGTAACCAAAAAAGCACCAACAATTTATACAAATTTAACTATATCCTACACACTGTTAACCATACTCCACCAAACATAGGGTCTTGGATTCATGGAGACCATTACACAGCCCACTTCGTCCTAGTTATTATGTAGTTCTCAAGGTCCCCACAATATAGAGGGCTTCAGTCTCACTAGCTGACAGCAGGAAAAAAGTAAATATTGTTCCTCCTTTACATTATAGGGTGGGCATTCATAATAGGGTATTTTAGCAGAACTTTTCCGATGTTAAAGTGATTCTTGTATTCTTACTTGATTTCTTCTTTAAAGGACCACTATAGTGCCAGGAAAACAACCTCATGGCGCCCCTCCAGCGCCGTGCTCCTTCGGCGCTGGGGACTCTCCTCCTCCTTTGGCTGAATGCGCATGCGCGGCAAGAGCCACGCGCGCATTCCGTCAGTCTATAGGAAAGTATTCTCAATGCTTTCCTATGGATGCTGGCATCTTCTCACTGTGAAAATCACAGTGAGAAGCGCAGGAGCGGCTCTAGCAGCGGTCAAGGAGACAGCCACCAGAGGCTGGATTAACCCTAGTGTAAACATAGCAGTTTTCTAAAACTATGTTTACAGCAGCCAGGGTTAACCCTAGAGGGACCTGGCACCCAGACCACTTCATTAAGCTGAAGTGGTCTGGGTGCCTATAGTGGTCCTTTAACTCTCATTCTCACAGTTTAAGTTGCTGACCAATGAGAGATGGAAGAAGACGTAGCTAATTGTTAGGAAACACTTTATACTGAGAGTCCTTACGTCTTTTGTTTCATAGAGGTTAATAATACAAAAGGTTGTACAATATATAACTCAAGAAAAGGGATTTATATGATTTGTTAAATTTTCATCTTTCTGTTTGATTACATTTTATAAGCAGGAAATGAAGTGGTTTGTACCCTAGCCAAATCCAGAATGCTCAGGGCTTGTTCTGTACAAATAGTTTTGTTTTTTTTGTTACTAGACAGGTGAGGGGCCAAGTTTATTCCCTAGGTAAAAAGGGCTGTCCAGACATGGCTTCAGTGTTAAAGAAAAAACATCATATTTCTGGAAATGTCACAGCTGGACAATACATTGAAAATAACAAATAACTTATTCACTTTTTTTTTCTTGTGATACTCCTTTTTCTTTTAAATTGTAAACAAAAAAAATAAATGCATCACAGATCAGTTCAGGCAAAATTTGCTTTGCAGGATGAGACAGAGAGATAATGGGAGAGATTTATTAGTTTATTGTTCTAAATAGTGGTCAAAAGAACTAAAAATGGGCACTCGGCATGGAAACCATTGGATCCACCAGACACATTCCACTGGTGACTCCTCCTTTTAGATGTTTTTACCACTTTCTAGAACAGAACACTTTAATAAATATCTCCCATAGTTTCTATTTTTCCTCCTCTCTCTCTTTTATTTGGATTAATTAATATGCCATTGTGCAAAATTGGGATTGGTGTACTTAAAAGGTTACTCCAACGGGGGGTGGAGCATGACCTTGCAAGTGAATGGCAGCATAATCCCTGAGGTCTGCTACGATTTAGCCAAATCTATAGCCATCTACAGCACCTGAGCCCCCAAACCCGTACTTGCACTCTGGTACACTCCCTATAACTCTCACACGCAGCATCGCACCAGACCACAACTCTCACAAACCTCAAGCCAAAGAAGACCTGCAAGAGATGCAGATTGATCTCCAGCCTGTTTCTCAGCCCAACTTCCGCATTCCATGGCATATATGACCGCAGAAGACACCCACGCAAGGACTCCCACTACGCACAGCACTGCTGATTACAACTCCAGACCAATTGCTTGAACCCACCCTCATGAACTGCACCATTAACAGAGGTAGGGGGTATGAAATTTGTGAAGAATATTGTTGAGGGGCTTCTGTCCAGGGCCGGCGTTAAGGGTGTCCGAGCTGTGCGGCTGCACAGAGCACCATGGGAGCAGGGGGCACCATGCGGCAGACACAGCTCACACATGGCCCGCCGGGATTATAAAAGAAATAAATATTGCTGCGGGGCGGAGCTAAACTGGTGGTGGGGGCGGAGCTAAAAGTGCCAGGTAACTGCTGCAGGGGAAGATCAGAAAGGAGTCCCTGCTTCCCCAACAACCAGTCTCCAGGGGCTGCACTGCCTCCACACCTGCATAATGAACAGAGGTAACTATGTGTGATTGTCTGCCTGTGTGTGTGTGGCTGTGTGTCTGTGTGTTTGACTGTCTGCCTGTGTGTGTGTCTGTCTGTGTGTTTCTATGTGACTGTCTGCCTGTGTGTGTGTGTATGACTGTCTGCCTGTGTGTGTGTATGACTGTATGCCTGTATGTGTGGGTGTGACTGTCTGTCTGTGTGTGTGTGTGTTTGTGTATATGACTGCCTGTGTATGTGTGTGTGTGTGTGTGGCTGTCTGTCTGTGTGTTTGTGTGTATGACTGTCTGCCTGTGTGTGTGTGTGACTGCCTGTGTGTGTGTGACTGTCTGCCTGTGTGTGTGTCTGTGTGTGTGTGTGTGTGTGTGACTTCCTGCCTTTGTGTTTGTGTGTGTGTGTGTGTGTGTCTGTTTGTATGAATGTCTGCCTGTGTGTGTGTGACTGCCTGCCTTTGTGTGTGTGTGTGTGTGTGTGTGTGTGAGACTACCTGCCTCTGTGTGTGGGGATTCATTCCTGTGTGTGTATGGCTGTCTGCCTCTGTCTGCCTGTGTGTGTGTGTGTCTGTGTGTATGACTGCCTGTGTGTGTGTATGTGTGACTGTATGCCTGTGTGTTTGTGTATATGACTTCCTGTTATGTGTGTGTGTGTCTGTCTGCCTGTGTGTGTATGTATGACCGTCTGCCTGTGTGTGTCACTGTCTGTCTTTGTGTGTGTGTGTGTGTGTGTGTGTGTGTGTGTGTGTGTCTGTTTGTATGACTGTCTGCCCGTGTGTGT